TGCAGTTGTTCTGAAACAAGTCTTTCAACTGGAAATTCCAGTAGAGATAACTTTCAACCAGTAATACAAAGCTAAAAATATTATTTATATTTTAAATTGCGTCGCCAAATATTCAACCCGAACCCGATCCGACCCTAGGGTCGGGTTGCAGATCTCTATCGTAGAGCCATCTGATATAACAATATGCCTGGGTTTGATAATAAAAAATTTAAGCACTCTTGTGAAAGACAAAGTTTGTAGTTAGTTGAAAGATAAAGTTTTGTAAACTTTATATTAAGATGATTTCCATTTAGTAAGGTTTCTATCTTATACTGAGATTACTCTTCCTGGAATAACAGTTAATCAATTTTGTGTCGTCGCTATACAGTTTCACCTATGATAAACAAGAGGAATGGTTTGTTCAGACTGAGATAATCAGCTTACTCTTGTTTTTATTCCAAAAACATTCATAACAATTGGTAAATATCAAGATGTACTCTACTTTACCTGTTTCAAACGATTTTTTACTTGAGAATAGTAAAAAAGATTCTTATACTTCGGAAGATTTCTAGAAAACCTTTTCAAAAATCAAAGTATTATCTGTTGATTTTTAAAGCTTTTATCGAACTGCATAGTATTGAGCAGTTAAAATAGGGTACATCTTTAACTTAAAAATGGGATATTTTACCTAATATACGTTTTCGTTAGGTTTCTGGAGCTGTTTTGACCCAGGCGTCAAAAAAAATCTAGTATCGCCCGATTCATCAAGATTACTAGATTTTTACTCGATTGCAACTATTGGGTAACAACAGTGGAAATCTAGCAATCGCCTGATTGCTAGATTTCTTCTAGTTGCAACTATCAGTTTATCACCCGATAATCGATCGATTTAACTATTGCTAGTTACACACGCAGACACATCTGGTTAAAAGTCTCTTTTCCAACTAGTAATCTAGATGGCAACTAGTCATGTATCGCCCGATTACAGATGAAATGTATCTAGATTTTACCCATAGGTGATGTTTGCTTAGATGAAAAACAAATGTTGCCACGAGGTTCAGCATAGTCGATAATCTATGTTTCCATGTGTTTGTAAGATTCCCAGGCTTAATGGTAAAGCAATCATAAGGCTTTGTGGAAAACATCGGGCTCATCTGGGCAAAGCAAAATGAAGCTTTCGCTTAGATCTGGTTTTGTCGAGGACGCTTTGGAGTATTTATCTAAAAAAAACAGTAGATTATTATGTCAGTCTCCTGAGATCCGAGGCGCTTTTCCAAAGATTCTCTGAAAAACCGACCTTTAAAAGATTTTAAAAACCAACTTTTCTTGTGAAAAGTTAGCTACAGCTCTCTATCTGTGATTGCTGAAAATCGCAGGACTCTAGCACTTATCGTTGCCGAATAATTAAAGAAACAACTATCTGCCTCCTTTTTGGCGACTATAATAGCTCAAATGGTGTTCATTGAGAAAGACTTGTGTACCAGAAGCAAAGGTTACGTAGTTGTATTTACTTTCACGTATACTATATTAAAAAAAACATAACAGCACCGAACGCTATGCACATTTTGTTTTTTGCTTAAGAACAATCTGTTTGAATTGATATTTGTTGGGTCCTGCTCAGTCTTCTCTGCTAAATAATGTTGAATAATTTAGACTCTATTTTCTGCAAATAGTGAAGTTTGTATGCATTCAAAATTGATTCGTACTTTGAATTGTTTTGTTTAGCCTGTAGCGTCATATTGTTTCTGGAGAAAATATGCATCATTTGAATTATGTTTTCAAACAGCATATATTGATTTTAAATAAATATGCACAAAACAAACATATGTTAGACGTTCTATGATCTTACAAAAAAAAGTCAAAAATCAATTCATTCGTTGACAAACCTATATTGAATCGGTATTTCCCCTGACTCATTACAGGAAGAACACAATGATTTAGTAAATTATTGCGTAATAGCAGAAATTAACTGTATATATTACCCAACTATCAGTGTAGTAAACAACAATCTCGACTGTTAACTATTGATTAAATCATTGTATAGGCAATGGAACAGCTAATTTTTATAATTGAAATTATTTTGCTGGGGCAATGTTATACCAGTACGTATTAATTAAAAATTTTCTCTATAAGAGGTATTGAAGGTCTAATAAAAATTGAGTCTCTTATTGACTTTAGCCAATGATCAAATTCAAAGTCGTCATTTTTTTCAATTTGGCATAATGATTTTATCTGAAACACATCGTAATCCACTTGACTACAATGATTATGGGTGCCACTGCGGCGCTAATCGTTATTCAATTCAACAAGAGCCATTAGATGATGTTGACAAATGTTGTCAACAACATGATCTGTGTTATAAACAGTGTACAAATGTTCAGATTCCCCAACCAAGTAGATATGTTTACAAAGCAACGGTAGTTCTCAATGATATAGTGTGCAAAGATGATCAGAACACATGTGGTTATAAAATATGCATGTGTGATAAACAAGCGGCAGAATGTTTTGGAAAATCGAAATATAATGCAGAATATAAAAATTATGATATTAAAAAATGTACACCATGAACAATGAAAACAAACGATTACTTTTTGCATCCTATGAATCCTATCTACTTTTGAATAAAACGTGTAATTAATAAAACGTGTAATTAATAAATCTTGCAGTATTTGACTAAAAATCAATTTATTACCTGTTCTATGGATATATTGTTCATATCAAATTGATCCCGTTGTCATGCGAGAACCTCTTCATATCACTGATAAATGGAGATGAGCACCTGGAGATGACCTCATATTCCCTCGCCAGATATATTTCTTTTATAAAATAATTAATAAATTTCTCCGAAAAAATATTGAAACAATGACGAATTACGTCATTCGAGTTTTTTTAATTATTTTTACCATGAAAAAGATTTTTTCAAAAATTAAAAAACATATTTTTTTTAGCCAGCTGGATGCGCACTATCCAACGATGTATAATAAGTTTGAAAAAAAATTTTGTTGTAAGTATGCATTAGGCACATCTTATATAAATCAAAATGCACATATCTTGTGAACGATACAGTCAAGCAACACAGAGTAGTCTTGCAATCAACATGTATTGTATACACACAAAATAGCGAACCAAAGAATTGATTCTCAATGTTGTTTAACAGGGTACAAACTTTTGGTCGGTACTGTATACAGATTTTAGATCAAAGGTAGGCTTTTGGCGATGATTAGTATCAATCGATTTTCCATTTAACAAGTTTAGTAGTAGTTTCAGATATATGAACTACAAAAATACACCTTTCCATGGCTGTTCGATGGATTATCTGTAATTGTTCAAACATGAAATACAAATTTTTCGCCTTGTCTTTCGCATCTTTTGGTTTTTTCCATCTGACTTTTAATTGGTTTCATACAATATCTATTTTTCAATGCCTGTTTATTTCTTTTTATGATCATCCTTATCTTCTCTTCAATATTGTCTGCAATACTAACATGTTCTTCTGTGCTTAATGTACTGTACAAGGGTAAATCGTCTTGCGAATGGTGAGATGGCGAATTTTGAACATGATCTAACCAAGTATTGGCTCCACTCGACCAGTTATATTGATCATTGCAACAAGACGAATCGATTGGAGTGACAGTAGAAAATGATTGTGGTCGTGTTATAAGAACAGATTGACGGGTCGATGGAACAGACGGACAACAGACTTTTTTCACTTCAGACGATGTCGAGTGACTGCACACCAGACGTACCATTTTGTTTCCATCTTAAATTTAAGAAACATGGATGAGAACATGGTCTCATACAAAATTTTACAATATCTCAATTTGATGAACGTTTCTCTTACTTAATTCTTGACTGAAAGGTGTATGTCTTCCGTTGAATACAATCCATGGCACATAGGTATGAGCTGGTTTTAACAGAAATGTATTGATTGCAATTCGAAATTCTAATAATTGTGCTAGTCTACCATATTGACATAAGAGTAGTTTATCGTCATCATAATTATATTTTTTACTACAATATTTAATTGATGTACACATCATTGTACAAAGTAGAAAATTGAGTAAGTACAGTGAATGTTTGTACAAATAAATAGCACATGCGTGAATACGATTTCGATGACATTCCGATGGACCATGCTGACATTCAACATGCCATAAATTTTTCCCATATGTTACATTTGCCTATAGATAGCATTGTGCATAACATATTTTACGAAATTGACAAAAACTGCTTACATTTCCCAACGGATAGAGGTAGAGATCGGCACATTTATGAATTTGTTCAATGTGTGGGATGAGTTGTTGTTGAAATATTTTCACACTGTCTGGACATAGAGTCTCATAATAAATGGCGATATGATGACGATGTTTATCACGATGATGTGTGATATTAAATTTATCCTTTCTATGTGGATGATTTTTGATACGAAAACGATCGTCTGTGTCTTGCATCAATCCAAATGATCTTAAATATAAAAAAAAACTCATGTCGTTAAAATCGCTCCATTCTGGACGATTACTTGTGATTAGCAATAAAATCGCCAATTATTCGCAATTCTTACTATAATCGTCCATAATTGCGACATATCGGCGATTTTTAACAACTGGTAACTAATCGGCTTGCATGAAAAATCGCCAGTTGTTAAATATCACCGATATATCGTCATTCTTAAAGATCCTCGTGATTTTTCTGTTTTTTTAATAATAGCTAATTAATTGTGATTAATTGTTAATTTTAAGCTATTAAATGGTTTTTGGTTATTCACCATTTTATTCTGCAGTAGAGTAGAAATATGATTTCAACGAGAAATGTTCTTCTATTCAGATTATCTTTTTAGTTTAGCTTAAAACGGAGTTGCCAAGGATGTTCTCTGTAGTTTCCTCGAGGCTGACTCATTGTTTCGATTTGAGTCAGCTTTGAACCGAGGAGCCCAGTTGACTGTTAAACTAAAAACTTGCCGATTAATTGCTATTAATCGCTAAAAACTCACCGATTTATTGACAATTAAGCGCACGATAAATCGGCTGAGTAATCGCTAAAAAATCGTCGATTTATGGCTGATTTTGACTACATGGGAATGCATCAATGTGTATACATTTTTTGAATTCTACTTTTTCTAATTTGTATCTAGAATTTAAGTTTTAATCATAGTGTACCTGTAATCTGGTTCCTTCTTTGTATTAGATGATGCGTAGTTCTGCGGTTGTTGGTACATTGAGATATAAGCACCATTGTTTTTGTTTATATTTTGTTGGTTTTTTTGAAACTGAATATTTCTGTTAGATGACTGCTGATCAATATAGTTGTAATTTTGATCGTGTCGAGAATATTCAAAGCTATCATCAGTGTTCCCTGTTTGACTATTAACACAGTGACAATGGACAAGAATCACTACTACTATTATTTGCATTAGTCACAAAATTGATATTTTATTTTTCATGGTATATTCATAAGATTTATACGCGCGCCATTTAATTTCACAAATAAAATAATAATTATACCGTTAACAAATGAGAACTGATAAACAACGGATGATCCACAAATAATTGTACTATATTTTTAATTTTTCTCCTATGCCTTAAACTTGATCGAGCTAGCTTTTTTTTGCCAAAAGATTTCCTGTTCAATCTTTTACAAAAAAATGTATTAACTGTTTTATTGCAAAATCCGAAGTTGAAGAATGATATAAGAAATTGTGAGAAGTAACTTTCCTTCATAATAAAAAAACAGTTCAAAATATTCTTTCTATACAAATCAATGTAGAGCAAGAAAGTTCATGGGTTGAAACCCGGAACTCATATAAGTCTAGTGTAGCCGAGTATGCGAATCGCGATTCATCCGCGTTCACAGTAAAAATAGCGAGACTCATTTATTGCTAGTCGAAGGAAAACATAAATAAACAGCGATCGGTAAAAACTGCATGTTATTTCGCGAGTCTTACAGCGAACGCATTGATTGATTGATTGATTTATATTTTAGTAGTCACAAGTAGATAGTAGATAGTGAAAACAAAAAAAGGAACATAAATATACATCTTTACATAAACAAAAACAAAAGTATGCTACTGGGAAGGCAAAAAAAGCTCTGAGAACCTATAAATCTTACCATCTTATTTTAAAACGATTAAAGCTCAGGATGGTTCTTGAGCATTACGCGATCCGGCCGCGAATTTTTAAAGAGGCTTGCGGCGCGACATGTGATAAGTAAGTGGACTTGGGATGTTTCTAGGCCTTACAGAAATTATGCTCTTATGCTATACGAAATGTAGGACGGCATCTAATACCTAAGTCAAATTTTATACAATAACATAACTACTTACTTTCTTTCAAATTCTCAAATAATTTCCCATAAATAACTATTAGAGTTGTTTATTTTAGACAGATAGTCCTTAATTTAAGCAGTTTTTCATTCAGCTCCGGCTGTTATCCTGTTCCCTTTTGGTGGCACTGTTTTCCATTTTCCAAGTTTGCGTCAATCAAAGACTCAGAATCAGCGAAATGTACGGTATTATTGTGCCCACCCAATATACTGGGTGACCAAACTATTTGGGTTTTTTTATTTTAGACTTCTAACCTTTTATAGATTAAGTTTCACTGGATAGCCAGGTCTTGCCTTTGACTTAACCAAAATTTTCTCCCAGATGCAAGTCTGGACAGCCGGTCTAGGCGGATCATAATTCCCGTTTAAGCATAATACTCAAAAATCTAGATGAAATTTTTAAGCTAACAATGGCATCCTAGCTCGAAAGTGATAATCTAACGTTGGAAATAGCGCTGTTTGTCCTTATTCGTATGCTTCCTGTTGATATCCGAGAGTTTTTGCTTCCAAAGAAAAGTAGAAAATTTTACCAGAGGTACTCAAGGTCATAGCGCAGAGGTAGAATTTTGAAATTTTATTTTAGATCTTTCTTTACCGAGTTATACGGTTTCTAAAATTTAAAACTTGATTTTTGAAAGTTTTTCGGTATTTTTCTTATAACTCGGTAAAGAAAGATCTAAAATAACATTCTAAAGTTATACCTCTGCACTATGACCTTGAATACCTCTGGTAAAATTTTAAACTCAATCGGATGAGATTTAAGGGGGGTCGTAATGTGACACAATGAAAAATCGAGTTTTCTGGAAAACTGGTGAACGGCAATAGTTAGAAGCTTGAAACTTAAACGAAAAAGTGTTTCATTGAGTTTCCAATCATTTCTGAAAATATGAAGTCTTAGTGAGTTTTAGTTTTTCTTTCACAGCATTTCTACGGAAAGCCCAAAATGAGGGGGATACCCTTACTGGTTTAGTACTTGCACTAGGGCAGTAAAATTTGTGATGCAAACGTTTCGCTTCGCACCGGATTCGCAAGTCTCACACAGCATGATTGCCCTCTAGTTGCATCTACAGAATGCTTTGCCCTACATAATGGCAAAAAAATCAAGTTTACAAATGTCTTGCTTTCAAAGAAAAGTAGAAAAAACGCCACAATGTTACGCTTCGCCCATGCCGTTTGGTTCTTTTATTCATCAAAAAAGATTTATTTTATAAATGATACAATTTTTTTCAATACGAATTCATAGTATAAATTGAATCTTTTGATATTAAACCAACCGAAAAGGATAATTCATTTGAAGTAAATAAGTCATTTCCATGAAATTCTTCCATTACTTGTAAATAATTCGATGAAAATATACAAAATAAAAGATGAAATTGAACGGTTATATTCACTTACTTTGTAAGAGTATCAGACAGAAATAAAAATGATTTTTTTTGTCATATGGTAAAAATCTGTGTCACATGAATACTTAAAAATATAAAATACAGAAAGTACTCAATTAACAAAAACAATTGACTGTAATGATAATTTATTCGTAGTTAAGAAAATTATTTAATGCTAGCTGAAATGATAATATCTTTTTTGATATCAGACAACGTCTACTCATCAGAACTGAGCAAGTCCGAATCTGGACTGAAGGTTTTTTTCTAATGTGTCGGACTTGGACTTGAGTTTTATGTACTGCGAGTCCGATTGAATCAGATTTTAAACTAAATGAACAAAAAATTTTTGATTTCTTCACTTTCTTTTTTGTTGTTCTGAGTTTATAGAACAATGCAATTCGATAGTAGCCAGTACGTGCTCATTCAATCTCGAGAACATTACTTTCTCTAAATAATGTAATTATTACAAACTTTTGTGCGTTTCAGCTACATGTCCATCCATTGAGCATATTTTTGAGCAAAACATTCTCAAAACTTCATTTTTACATCTGAACATTAAAAGTGTCAAATGTAGCGATCTCACACAACACTCGTTAACAGCATTTATTATTCATTGTATGTAATACACAAAATACAATCGTATTTCAGATATAAAATAAAACTAGAACATGTTTCAATTTAACAATAGAAAAGGCAACAAAACGAAAATTAGCAATAACAACAAAATAACAAAAACAACGAGCCAAGTGACATCAAGAAATAGATATTTTCTAGTATAGTCAAACCATATGCGAATAATTCAGGGAATATTGCAGAAAATATAAACAAGAGCGATTCTTTGGACTTTTGACAAAAACATACAAGTTAGCTTTAGTTAAACTAGAGAATAATTAAGATGACTAACAGAAATATAAGCACATACAAAAATAAAGAACATAAGCTAAACTGTTTAAAAAACAAATAACAATAAAAGTGTTTTTTTGATCTAACAGATACCATTCACATGACAGGTTTTTTTTCAAGTTTTTTCAAGAAGTAAGAATAAATAGTATAAAAAAAATCACGATTAAAGGACTAGGAAATTATTCCAAATATTTGTCATACTCCTTAAACTAATATTGATTAATAATGAAAAAGTGAATGGGACAAATTCTGAATTATTCTCAATTTTCAGACTTCAAAGAGAAAATATCACTTGTGTTTTAAGATTATTGATTTTATTGGACGGTATTTGTATTTTATAATAATTTTAACGCTAAACCTAGTGACCATGCCACTTCAAAATCTCTTATTTTCTTACATATATTGATATTTGTATTTTCCGATAGTTTGTAGCCAGTTGTTAACAAAGAAAATATATATGTCAAATCAAAACATAGAAATGGATGTTTTTCTAATAAATGTGTTGAACCACGGCAAATATTTTTTGCCGCTTGTTTCAGTGTTCGAATCTGTAACTTAGTGATCATTGTTGGACTATTTCCATTATCCAATGATAGTAGACCAGCATCATATATCACATCATAAAAATATGAAAATGCATAAATCGTCATTTGTTCGAGACCAACGGCTTTTTGAACATTCTTTCTGACATAGTCATCAATTTGTGCAATACACTGATAAAATCGTTCATCATCACTCATACTGCTACTATGTGATTCAACTTGCCACAAATATTCTTGAAATTTAAATTTACCTAAACGTACAAGTAATAGTTCAATTAGAGAAAATTACTTGTTAAAAAAAAAATGATATTTTACCTTTGATTTTCTTTGGCATGCAATGTGTTTTAAGTAGCTTTTCTTTCTGAATTAGTTTCACATAATAATCATTTGATTTTTTTAAATCTATTTTTCGTTCATCAATTGTTTCATTTATAAATATTGTTTGTCTTGCAATCATCAATCCATAGCCAAGATATGATTTCGAATAAAGTTGAATATCTCGATCAAACATTTGAAATTGTTGTAGATGAGACATTGATAATGACGATTCGTTATCTTCAATTGACTTGTTTTGATCTTCATTATGTTCAATATAACTTAATATCTTTTCAGTTGTTATTGATTCCTAAACAATCATACTTCTTATTATTTTTATGTGTCATTTTTTACTGTTTCTTAAACATACCACATGATTCTTATTTTTTCTTTTTAATTGATCGTTTTCAGTCACATCATGTTTGATTTTTTCCACTCCTATTTTATTTGCATCAATGATCGACATTTTATCTAGTTTCTCTGGTGGATTATATGTGATTTGAGTTGAACCACCACCAAGATCAAGTGCAGCGATTTTTGTTGAATAAAATTGTTCACCTAAATAAAAAAATTATTATATATTAAAAAGATAAACGACAGTGTATGATAGACTCAGATACTCGATGTCAGCAAAAAATTTGCTTTTCAATGAGATGTCTCCGAACTGTTTACGATCTATATTTATTGAAATATCCCTTTTTTTCTCTAGATGTAAATTAATTGACATTTTTGTTCCTTCTTCTTTTCTATCACAATCAATATACGCATATTTTTATTATGTAAAGAATATCGGTTAGATATACTGGCAGTAAAACCGCAGACCAATTTCGGAGATGTCTCATCAGGTCCGTAGCCAGGATTTCACTAACGATAAGAGAGGCGCACTATGGATGTAACTCGATATACCGGTTTTCTTGCATTTTATTTTTTGATTGTACCGGTTCTGATTCCTAGCAGTTAAACAGCAATTTTTACTTATGGGGTGTGCCCGGGCACAACGGGCATCCACCCTCCCCGCGATTACGGGCCTGCGTCTCATTCGAAAGCAAATTTTTTACTCTATTCAAGCACATATACGGGTTGTAGAAGAAAAATTTTCGCGACCGGAGAAAAATGGATCACAAGTATCACATGAAAAATCAACTTTTCTCCTGAACGGTTCAATATTTTTTGATGACATTTTTAGGATCGATAACCCCTATAAATATACCTCTTTCCTGGAAATTTCCGGAAAAAACATGGTATGCTTCTTGAAAAAATTCGATTTTATTGATGTTTCATCCAAAAAATCTAACAACGTGACCCCTCCCCTATAACTCCAGAATGTAACACTTTTAGAGCACCATCTTTTAGCTGCAAGCTAGTTATATAGGTTCTATTTATGGTTTGTCGGACTCTGTCAGAAAATGGCTCTGAAGTTTTAGAATATTCGAATGGATTTATTTTCATTTGTATTTTGGAGAAAGAAAGTTTAATTCAGACTATGTCTTGTCCGAGTACTTTCGATTGAGAGCAACCAGTAGAATTTTACATACTGTTTTCCTTTCACATTAAGAAGCTAATCAAATTAGACTATTTCTCGGTCATGTTTACCTTGTAGATATACTAGCGTTAACCAGGCATCGATGCCTTCATCTGTCTCATCCATGATAGCAACATCCATGTTTGATCGATAAAATCTATATTGTCCAAATGTTTGCGATACAGCTTGTAATAATTGTCTACTCTTTGTTTCGTTTAGTAATCGTAATCCAGCTGTTGCTCTGAAAACTATAGGCGTTGAACGCTGTTTAAATCGAGTAACAGATTTTTCAGCTATGTCTAAAAGATTTTTAATTTGAGCTGATGCATTATCGATATGATCGGCATACGAAGATAGGCCCGGTGTACGTTCTTCAAATATTTCTGATTTCAAAACATATGTGGTTACATTATCATAATGAGAAAGAAATTTGTAAACGTGAACACGAGTACCTAAAATAAGAATTCTGAAAATAATAGATAAAGTAAAATTTACAATGTTTACCTGTACTTCCTGCATCAAGAACAATAACATACGAGTATGGATCGAAAATATGTAGAATAATTGATGAATAGAGTACATAAGATGCGATACAACATAATAGTAGACAAAATAGTGTTTGTAGAGAAGCTTGTAGAAAAAATTGTTTCATTATAAAACGTGTTGAATATCGATATTTTGAATCACCATTCGGTAAATGTAAGAATGAATAGATATATTGTTTGTAAGTAGATAAATATGCTCCTTTTAAATAACGAAAGTAAGGTGGAATTATTAAAAGAGGAAGTAATGATGATTCTGTCGATTGATGAGTGGCCGTATCTTCATTTCTTAAACATGTGTTGGCTTGACGATGACGAACAATTTTATTATCAGTCACAGGATGGTCCATTGTTGTTGTTTTGATTGGAGCAGTACAACAGGATGGCATGGACACGAGAAGCAGCTCTACAATAAAAAAAAGTAAAGATGAAAGTAGTTACAAAGTATCAAAATGTTTCTCGCATCAAGAATACGGTTTGATAGATTATAAAAGTGCCAAATGCAATATACAAGTGCATGGCAAGAGTTATGAGATATAAAACAGATATTATATGTCAATGTATAAAAGCACTCAAACGATTTGTGCTTCCGAAAGATAAACGTGTATCTGATTGATTCAGAAAAAAAATAGTTTGAACAAAAATAAGGTAGAAATGTAACAGGACACGAACAGTACCCATCCTGAAAGTAATGCTACTTATTTTTATTTCGAACGCCAGTTTTTCTTTTCCATCATTTCGCTTCATAGCAGTCAGTCTGTTGACACACCTTCTGGTCCAATAGAGTAAGGAATGTTGTCTGTTTCAGTGGATTTCCACATTTTTTCTCGCAACCTATCAGCCCAAATGAAAGCGGACTTATTCCATGTGAAAGAATGTCAAAAACTGCGGAAAATGATGCTTACTTTTTCAAAGTGGATAAGAAGCATATTCCAAGATTTTATTATTAGAACAGGCAATATGCAATAAAAAATTCTATTATCAATGTTAATTTGGACTATTTCACTAACCAAATTTAGCATAGATAATTTCTTATTTTCTCGTATAAGTTTTAATATGATAAACTATCTATAGTATTTCGACTTTTAGTATTTTCTGATGTTTAAAGCATAAACGATCATCCACCTTATTCATGTAAACTAGAAAACATTTTTGCGCCCGTAATCACTAAATATCTATGCCTGTTTGTCATTTTTTTTGTATCATGACTAGGCCACTGGATGATGCATTTGCGGCATTGTATTATAAAGATTCAGGAGAACTACAAAATTTAGAGAAACGACGTGGAAAGCCAAAAAAAGCAGGATCTATATTGTTATATATTTGATTGCTCTATATAATCTGGTACGCTTTGAAACGAAAGCGAAATTGGCATCTTCTTTATCTAATTAAAACCGGGCACAAAAGTTACTGAGTACTAATGTTTAGAACATTCACTAACGAGGATACACTCTTCTTTCAACTTTAGTAATACCTATTTCAAAGAAGTAGAAAATCTTGTGATGGATGGCTTTATAAAATAGAGAGATAAACGCAGACGTGAGCTTTCCTGTAAGAATTAAAGCGAAACCAAACAGCTATGTTAAATCATCAGAACATCTTTCTAAGAAAGCAACTCTAATATAAATTTTAAAGCTGTTTTACTACCCTAACAACATTTTTTTCTTTTAATTTCTCCTTGTGTCAATGACACCCGTTTATATGGAACACAATGCTACACCTCAATCTCTACTCAGTGTACTGCTGGAATTGGTTGATAAATCAACTAGTCTGCAAAAGGAACATAAAGTACCTGTTCCCTAGCGCACTCTACGTATGTGGAATGTCATTTCAAGGATGTCTTAGCAGTAGTATTTATTCACGAAACGTGAGAATCATCAAAGGTCCTCGACGTGTAATAACAATGACTCAAGCCAATAAAAGAGTAACGACAGTCTGACATATATGAACGTTTGCAAAAACCTAGTATATGCAAGTAACGTTCATCATCCTGAGTCCTGATACAGTGGGCATTTTTCCATAGAGCAGGCGGACATCTGGTTTTATGAGTTAAAAAATAATTATGTTCGCATAATATTGTCTTATTAGGTGTCAAATTTTAATAGTAGTAAGAAAAGTCAAATTCGAAAAATTTATTCCGATAAACAATCCGGAGGACCCTTGCCCTGAATTTTTGTCAAACAATCTGTTATTTTGTAAACCTAATAAGTGATATATCATTCGATGCAGTTTTTGACGCTAATTCCAAATATCATATTATTTTTCAATAAAAGTGTTTCTGAGCCGAGAAAAATGGATTTTATCTCAAAAGCCAAGTGATTTTTCAAAACCCCTAAGTCCAAAATGATAACCGCATGCACCATAGATGCAGCATATGTTGACGAGTATTTCAGGAAATTTTCGTGCGTTTTGGAGACTGGGAAAGTGTGGAAAACTCATTCCACTTTAACTAGCTTTCCGGAAACACCGTCAGTTCGGATAATAATTTTTTTTTCTGGAACTGTAAAGGCTGGATAAAAATTTTTTTTACTAATAGATAGCTAGAAGCGTCTGGATTCCGAATACATACGTTTTATACGTTTGAATTGGCTTCATGCGATTAAAAAATGTTGGTTGGTTACAGATGTGTATGTAATGATGATAATATGTAACGTAGTCTGGGTAGATTGGCTATGTTGAGTAGGATGAGTAGAATGAGTAGGATGAGTAGGTTGAGTGGGATGAATAGGTTGAGTAGGTTGAGTAGCCACTGTAAATTTTGGCTTGGGGTCAACTTTTTTGAATGAATTTAAACTAATTTGGAGTTAAAAATTAGTTTGTATCGATTTAATATAAGAGCTGTTTAATTTGTCAGTGAAGAAAATTAGTTTTTTTGCAAAAATAATCGATCAAAATCAAATTTCGATTTTTTTGTTCGTTTTTTAAATTTATTTGAGTTAGTTTCGTAATTTTTATTTTATCTTCATTCGAAATGTATCTATAATTAATGTGAATTAATTTTGCTTGCTTTTTTAAAATCGACATGTTTCCTGCATATACATAAAAATATATTTATCTTGACATATATGTGCACACATGAACGTTGGGAATTTGGGATTTTACTCAATACAGAGTCTGTGTCAGTTAACACTTAGGTTTGCTTCCAGTATTCAGCATATGAGCGGTGAAGTAGAGGGAAGGAGTGTGTGTGTGTATGCAGCATGAGAGTGAGTCACTAAAAAACATTTTATTATACCCGGAACTTAGACGATTTGCTTTTGGGAATCGGCGCTACTCGTATTCATAGCTATGAGTACGGATACAGACTCTGTATTAAGTAAAACTCGACAATTCCAGAATCATAATCATTTACAAATATACATAGATTTGTGAATATGGATAGAGACTGTGTCGACAATACAGATATATGTCTGTGTGTATTCGAGAAGAACCTGTACGCAGTATTCAAATACATTGTATTATGACAACACTTTTACTTTTCTTAAACTACTCAACATAGTCAACCTGCCAAGGGGCCAAAGACGGCTCCGGGAGCTGTCCGGAGCCGTTGAAAACTTTTCCGATGGTTGAGATGCTCAGCATCCGATGCAGAGGGATGTTCTCCGATGCTAAGAAAGAAAAAAGTCGCCTTTTACACCTTGTAATCTACTCAATCGCATACAACGAAAGTGTTGAGTGGTTTTGAAAAATTTTTTCCTTGAAAAAACCGGTTTTTAATATTTATTACTTTCTCCGGTTAAAATACTTTTAAAAGTTTTTCTGAACGCGTTGATCGCTTTCTGCAAAGATTTCTCTTCAAAATGAGACGTTTGTCGGCTCTTCATGATGATATAGTCAAAAGTTAGCAAAGTTTTACGAAAAGCAGTCAATGCGTCTAGTATTTTCTTTCCTTCTATTTTATAAATACATTTTTGCGCGATGGCATCGACATTTCCCAAAATTTTTCGTTACAGTTCGTCGCAGCGACTTAATTGTTTTTTTTTAATTGTAGGGTATAGTTATAGCTGGAGAATGAAAGAGCCCGATCTTTGCTTTATCCTTTAGATTTTTAATAAAACAGAGTTTTCTAGAAAACTCCAAAGGAGTCTCTCGAGTTTTTGAGAAAAAAAACGTTATCAAAAATCCGGCTCTGTCAAGCTGACAACGATCAAAATACTATTCGAAGCTATAATACTGCAAAGCCTTAAGTTTGATCCTCTTTATTAGGCCACTATTCGACATGCACAAAGAGAGACACCCAAACCAAAAAAATCTTAGTACGATTTTACCACGCTTTAGTATGAGTACTCGGGAACCCTAGAGGGTACTATGTTTACAGAACAACGTCTTCTGGGATATCTAATAGGATTTTGATTATGAAAATAAAACAGCAAGACTGGCTCATGTGTAACTGAAGAAAATAAAAACTGAATCTACATTTCATAAAACAGTATGCGCTCTGCGTCCAATTGTAAAGTTCTCTAATCTATACTCAACCTACCCATCATGGTCAACCTACTCATCCTACTCATCCTACTCAACCTACTCATCCTTCTCAACCTCTTCGTAAGCTAGACCCGTAAGAAAGGATAAAACTTGGATACGCAACGTATCAGGATTATGACACCCCTCTAAAATACATGCTAGTTTTTATTTCACCATTTTTTTCTCAGACTTCGCAACTTGTAACAAAAATTTTACGCCATTAGATAGCCCGTAAATCAGAGTATATTTAACACTATTTGAATTTTGAACAACCTCACTTTCGATTTTTTTCCAAATGTCCGGATGGTTGCCCACTATGCCTGCCCCGCTTGGCCCTTGACTGTAAGGGTCTGTTTTATATGAGTGCACATGAAACCTTCTAGAAAGTATATACACAAAGGAGAAAAGCATCGCTATAGTTAGTTCCTCATGAAGGTGGACTTTCTTCTTGCTGCAAGAATTGTGCCACTTTCTTGTTTTTTTCTTGCTTTCTTGCAGCTTCTTGTATCAAGAAGTTTCACTAAGGTAATAGTAGCTCATATTAGCGGTGGGACCGTTCCAGTTCCTATAGTTCCTAAGAACTGGTAGCAGTTCGCGTTCAAAAGAACTGAACTGGAACTGTCCCACCCCTAGGTCATGTAAACCAGTGCTTTTCTAGTAATTTGCGAGCTACAATCATGCCTCATTAGGAAAGGTTTTGGTTACTTTTTAGAGTTTCCGAAAGACTGGTTTTCCAGAAAATCGAATCTTCAAAGGGCTATGGTGAATCCCCCCATGGTCATATTCGGAATCAGATAACCTATAACCGCCTAGATTTCGATCAAAAAGCGATTTATCAGTTGGGGATGTTCCCTCGTTAGACAGAATGCAAAGCAGGCTTATTCTGGTTTTGACTGTACCTTCGACGTGTTGTGCATGAGCTCGC